TATATACAGTATACAATTGCCACAATATTTATGTAACCTCAAACTTCGGATGATGCAGAGGTTGAATAAGTAAGATCAAACTGTGCAGTTTCAAAATAGCGACAATCTAAATAATGTTGGCCCTGCTCCGACTAGCCGTTAGCTTGTCAGTATTCTTAACATATTTTCACAAGTTTATTAAAAAAATAAGATAAAAACATCAGTATTTTCAGAACTGTACTGACCCTTTTTATTAAATTCTGCAAATGTCCGTGCCTAAAAATGTTATTTAAGAGTCCTAAACTGTGATTTTACTTAATGGAATTTTTTCATGAGTGCCATGATTAATATATAATCTTCTATGTTCAGAGAAACAAAGAGAGCTGGCCAGGAAGGGCTCGTTAAAGAACGGCACCACTGTAGGTAGTCCCGTCAACCAACAGCCCAAGAAGAACAACGTGATGGCCAGAACACGGTGAGATGTGAGCTCTGGGATCAGACACATCAACACTTCTCTCAGGGAAGTCTTTATCTGTAAAAACAATGCAAAAGTGGGGAAACTGTATTCTGATTATTTTTAATGTTATAATTAGCATCTAGCAGTTTAAAAAATACTGTAGGATCTAAATAAAGCTTAGTGACACAAAAAAAACCTGAAAAACTTTATTAAAGTCTGTTTTCTTTCAGGTAACTGATTCCCACACAGTGTCCCACTATGTTTTACTGTCCCAGAAAACATGTTCGAGAAATTTCACCAGATGTTTTTATTCAATACCAGGCTGCAAAAATAGCTGTATTGATTCAGGGTTTGTAAACTGTCGGAGGCAGACATCAGACCTCCTTCAAGCTTATGTTCTTCCTGTAGTTCAGCTGTGGTTCTGCCCCCAGGCTCACCTTTATTTCCTCTCATCGTTTCAGTTTGTTCTTTCATTTGTCTCTGTGTGAATGTCTCTTTCTTTTCCCACACCTTTTATTCTCTGCTCCTGATCTTTTGTTTTTCCTTGTCCTCTCTTTCCCCTCGGTACAGGTTGGTAGTGCCGAATAAAGGCTATTCCTCTTTAGACCAGAGTCCAGATGAAAAGCCCCTTGTGGCTTTAGATACAGACAGGTAAACACACACTTTAATGACCTCGTTCTTCTCAAAACACATTTATATAACACTAGTAATAAATAAATCTGATGATGTGTGTTTTTATGTTTCAGCGATGATGATTTCGACATGTCTAGATACTCTTCATCAGGCTACTCTTCTGCTGAGGTGAGGTGGTCATATTTATTATTTTGTTCCCTCCAGCCTTCACTTCCTTGATTCCATTTCTTTACGCTTCTCAAGAACCTCAGAGTGAGACCTTTACAAGGCAGGATTGAAGTGAGGTTATTTACATCCATCTCCTTGGTTCATGATAATTCTGTATGTGCAGACTCTGCAAGTGTGTGATCGCACTGCAGGCTCAACTGCACACTAATGTATATGAGTAAAAAAAAGAAATGTGAATTTCAATGTAATTTATTAATGTCTACTTGTGCAAATATGGTTTTACTACAATGTATAACAAACTAAGACAGGTGCAACAGTCTGGAGGTTTTTTTAGTCAATTTATCATCCTTCACATCACATTTATGTCTCTGAAAATGTCAGGCTTGTGAACATAATGAATATGTATGGTTTTACTGCTCAGATTCAGGTTCCAACACCTAAATCATAACTGACTAAAATATTTGGTTGTTGGAGTCTGAAGAGTAATTTTAGGCAAATTCCAAACAGTCTGCTGTATATTTTTTCTTTAAGTAAAGACTTTTTCCTGACCACTTTTCAAACAAGTCCAGCTCAGTGCAACTTTTAGAAAGTCCTCGCATCTCCGCGAATGAGCTGTCTAGCTCTGTCAGGGCCACTTGGTTGCGTCTCTGAATAATACCCTCTATATATGGTTTGTAAGTTTTGATGGACAAGCCTCCCTTGGCAGGTTTGATACCCTGTGCTTTTCATTTTGGGATGGGATGTTCAGGGTTTAGGACAGAGGAGCCCAACGTAGGGCCCACGGGCCAAATTTGGCCCACCAAGCTATTTGATTTGGCCCACCAGCAGTTGTAACCTGCTTTCCTATGTAGAAACACAGTGAATTACAAGTAACAACAAGAGACATTTAGATTAGATTTAGCCACACACTTTGCAAACTTTAAAAGGCCACAAAAATTTTTTTTTCAATTTATGAAATGTCCCATTAGCCTTTGCTACTTGAACGTATGGCAGATTTTCTCCAAGTGCACAGACTCAAACAAAATCAGACCACTGGCTGCTAGCCTAATTGTTAAAAATAAAAGACTTTACTTAAAAAAGTATTTATATTTCATGTATTATATTACTGCATTTGGCCCGCGGCCCCTGATAGATTTTCATTTTGGCCCTCTTGGGGAAAATGTTTGGGCGCCCCTGGTTTAGGATATCTGTTTTGATGTGTTTGTTTCTGACCTGTGTTGAGAGTACCTTGGTCTTCATATTGTCTCTTGCTTGGTGGTGACCTTTACTGCTTAGACGTGTTGAACTGTTGATTCTGGGGGGTGCCTATGTGGTTTCTATTGGATTGTTGTAGTTTCAAAAACAAAAGAGATGAAATCTTCTGCATGCAACACTTTTAAGTTTTATAATTTATAGGATTATGTTAAATATTTTTTCTCCATTTAACTCCATGAAGCTTTAGTATTTTGTGTTGGTACAATACGTTTACTCATATTTAAAAATAGATTTAAATCGCAGGCTGTAACGCAACATTAATGAAAGAACACCAAGGGGGTGAACTCATTTGCAACCCAGTGTGTATTTAATCCATTACAGAACAGAATGTGGTATCATTTCTACACTAAACCTAAATGCTTATTCACTTGATTTTTTTTTCTATATTTCATGTAAAATGTTTTTTTTTTTTTTTTAGGATTATAAATACAATCACACCCGGGTGGTACTTGTAATTATTGTAATGAAGATCCGAGCGAGGATGCTTGCAGCCATCTGTGGCAGAAAAAGCTACATCTTGTTCTGCCATGGTTACCATTTGAACTTTCAGTTGAGCTAATTCACAAGCACAGCCCGTCTCAGTCTCAGTTTTTGGTCATTGTTTAGCTCCACAGCTCAGAGGACGTATGAGGTAATCGTCAAACAGGAACACTTTGTGGTTCACTCAGCTAATTTTCTGTCCTTTGTTGGGTTTAATAAATAAGTCAGCATTGTTGATGTTTTGATTTAAAGCTTGTTACATTCAATATTAGTGCAGTTTTTGCAACATGTGTCCTCACTGACACTGGATATGTCTTTCCACTGAATTCTTTACCAAAATGATTAAATTCAGACTCTATTTTGAACCGTTTTTAGCTTTATTGCCCGAGCAATGATGTATTTACATTTGGAAGAATTTCACATTATTTTAAATAAACACAGATGTTCCAACATGCAAATGTTCTGGTTTCATTAGGGTTTTAGGAGTGGAATGATCCAGATTAAAAACTGTTCAGCTCTGCCTTCTATACTGAAAAGAAGCTAACAGTAATCCTTTAAAACTTCATAATATTATATTGCTTACTTTTAATCATTAGTCTTCATCCAGCAGCTGTTGACTTAATTGTTTTTAATGAAGAGACTTTAGTTTTATTGTCTCAGTGTCTAAAGATTCAAAGATCTGGGCACAGGCTGACAAAATCAGGCTGAAAAACAAATCAGTTCCTGATTGTTTATGAAAGTAGAGCTTTGCTTCATAATTAGAAACTAATTGCCTCAAAGTAAATCCTGTTTTATTTGCATAAACTGAACAGAGATTTGAGAACGTAAATTTAGAAGCACCCAAATTACATTTAATAGTCAGTAAATAGGAGGTAGATTTTTTGCCTTTGAGACATAAAAAAATCACAAAAAGAGGAAAGTTGTTGCTGAAGTTCAATGAGTGTTTTTGTGGAAGTAAGGCCATGTTTTTTGATCGAGTGGCCTAAATGCTTTCAGCTGTGATGTTAATTCAGTAATGAGGAGTTTGGACTTTTTATTAATAACCAAACAAACTAAAATATATGAGATAAATGGCTATGGACAGCTTTAATCAGTTATTAACAATTTTTCATTTTAGTAAGATGCATAACACCTTTTCCCCCCACAGTCTTTTTTCCCACTTTTTTTGTAGCCAAATGGAGTTTGTCATTTTTCCAGTAGGTGGAGATGACTGACTGTGATGAGAGCCATGTTTTTGAATCCAGTGTTTTGTAATGGCCTCCTTGCTGCCAGCAGGTTTTTCAAAAACTAAGTCATGTTTGTCCATGCCTTCAGATGTGTTTGAGGTGTAAAGGTTCTATTGTAAGATAGCTGTAACTACATTGTTCCAAAATGGCTGGACCAGCTAGATCAGCAGGACCAAAACATCTGAGTGTATTCATCTAGAGATTCTCTACACTCACTCCAGCTGCACAGCTGAGCCATGTTTTGTTTCTGTAGGAGTAATATGGGAGCAAATCAGATTTTCCATCAACAGCGCCTGTAATTGTGTGAATTAGTTGAAGAAGATTGTGCTTTCCATGCTTGAAGACATTCTTCGATTTTAGTGTCCAGTTTCTTTTCCCATCACTGCTTTACATAATCTGTAATAATACTGTCCTTTGTGCTAATTCTATGATACAACAAACGCACAAAATCAATAACATCCCCTAAGTGAACCATTCAGGAAAAACTTGAATAATGTAAATA